GTAAGAGCTCTTCTCCTGGCGTGCCACATGCGTGCCTCACAGCAGAGGGCACTCCTGTATTCCTTACGTAGCCTCTGGAACCTGCAGCCTCCACTCCCAGCTCCTGCCTATCCTGACAGAGGGAAGCTTCGCCTCTGGCCTCCCTAAACCCTTGAGCTAAGAGCTCAGGACCACTGGGAGTAAAGAGAGAAAAGCTGCTGCTACATTAGGTGGAGATGGTAGAGGGAAAGATGCTGCTCCCGTGCCTGCCCCCACCAAGCAGGAACTCCCCGTAGCCTGAGAATGAAACTGGAGCACCGCCACTTCTAAGTGTCAGGAGGAGTCCCCAACTCACTGCCTGCCCAGTGGGTCATTTCTTGATAATTCTCCCCAGAAAAGTAGAACCAAGCCCCAAACTGGGAAGAAACTGTGTTCGTGTGTTCACATTTGAGCAATCTTAATCAAATGGAAATTCTGAGTTGCAAAAGAGAGAAGTTATCTACTTTGTGAAAAACTATTTTCCGAAGAAACAACTTTTTTCCCACATAACTTCTTGTAGCAGTCTCCTGCTCTATAGGTACCATGTGATTCGATTCATTATTTTCAGAAATGACAGTAGATAACACTTCTGGTGCTTACTGCATGCAAGATTTTTTATGAACTCATATATATGTAAACTAGTTTCATTTTCACAACAATCCTGTGAGGCAGGTGCTTTTTGTTATGCAAGTTTTACAGATAAAGACATTGAGGACTGGAGGGATTCAGTAGCTTGTTTAAGATCACACAGCTAATGGACAGCAAGAGTTGGGATCTCAACCCAGGCAGTATGGTTCCAGAATCTGTACCCTTAATGGATTTTGCTGTTGCCAAATCCTCATCAAAGAACAATGTGCTTTTCTAGAGTTGGCAGTATATTAGGAGTTAAAATAGTAAGAGCCTTACCTGTAGGTTCTTAAGAAGTCAGGGCCATAAGGGTTGCCTGCGCTTGGGAGATGAGGCTAAGGGCAGGTAACTAAGACCCCAGCCCAGAAGCCATATATGGGGCCACACTGGTGTCTGCACTGACATCATGAAGTCAAGAAATAAAGAATGGAAACCTTTCAGTCTAAAAACTGCCTTTTGTTGTCAATCCCAGCCAGGACCTGGCTGACCTGACCTCTGCCACAGAGGGGGAGGAGCATTTTCCTTTCCTTATTTGGAGTATAAAGTGGGAGGCATGGAAGATTCTTTATTCAGTTCAGGCAAATGTTGATGTAATTCCCTTAAACCCATATCTAGGGTTATCAATTTTAAGTACCACAGGTATTCAAATAGCACAGTCCCTGCCCTGGAGAAACTGACAAGGTAGAAAATGATTCTCTTTCTTCCCATCCCTACGAGCACTTAAGCCTACCTAGTATATTCAGCAAAAGGAAGAAAACCGTAGCAGCTGGTTCCAAAGCAGCAAAGACAGGGGTTGGCCCAATTCACAGAAAAATTAACTCCTGCACGCCACCTGAGAGAAATTCAGTGCTTGCTATATGCAGGGCACTGTTAAACCCTTTACTCAATACATACGTGTATAGTCCTCACAACTGTTATATGAAGTAGATGCCGCTATCATTCATTTTACAGATGGAGAAACAAGCACAGAAAAAGTAAATGACATGCCCAAGGCCACCCAGCCTGTACTGGAAACAGCATTTGAACCCAAGCAGTCTATGAAGTTTATGCTCTTCCCTATTCACTGTACTGACATCCAAGGTGAGGGCAGCAGCAGCAAGTAAACCTCAACAGTAAGAGAAGGCTTGACAGAGGCAGAAACCAAGATTACAGACGAAAGTGCAGTGAGATACAGGGTCTTTGGACCTTTGAGCCCCAATCAGTGGATTGCAAGGCCTCCCAGGGCAGGGTTTGTGTCTTCATCATTTTTGCACCTGGCACAAAGCTGGACCTATAATCAGTCTCAAAAGACATTACTGAATTGAATTATGGCTGAGTAACATCATCGTTGTAGAAAGGACTGGCTCATTTGTCATTATCCACGTGGTTCCCAACGGCAAAGCTGCTTATCTAGCAGGTGTTGGCAGTCACAGAGGACATGGTTGGTGGGGAGAGTGTGCTGGACGAGCTGTCAATATTAGTCTTGGAGTCATATTTATTTGCAGAGGCTTCCTCAGCCCTCTCTTAGCCTTGGTTACCAGTTGTCATTAAAGTCCCAGTGGTGTTAGTCTCTCCACCCCAGTGCTCAGACAGAAATATGGTCCAGGCATCTCCTTTACTCTCCCAAAGAGGCTGGTCTCTTGCGGGTGGAACTGGGCACCGCTCTCCATTTCAACCTTGTTCCTGCCTTCCTGGTCCCTTCCACGGGGAGAGCACCGAGTAAGGCACGCTGAGCAAATGCCTTTTCACAACCTACCCGCCTACCCCAAACTTGATTTGGTTTGGTTGCTGAAGGATGGGGAGGGCAGAGGTGATGCCCTTGACCACCCATACATTGATTCACAGGTCTCAGCCCTTTCCTAGCATCCCAACCACCTGAAATCATTACCTTTTGCTTTGTAAGTTCCGTTTTGAAACGACTACCAAAATGGAGTGGAAACTGGGGGCTACCAGCTCCCCAAGTATGGGTTTTCTCGCCTTACTGAAGGGGAGGGCTTGGGGAAATACTCACAGAGGTTAGTGGAGCTCAGGAAAAACAGACCCTGTACAAAAGCTGAGTAGCCAGATGTTCCCTTTCATAGCTCTTCTACAAGAGTGGCAGGGCAGATAGGGATTAGAACAAAGCACAAACTCCATTTAAAGTGCATTACGGCTCAGGAACCAGCTCCCCGTGGGCAGGAGAAGAGAGGAAAGGGCACAAGAGGCCACATCAGTCTTCTTCCCTTATCTAGGGCCACATGTCTCTCTCCAAGCTTTGTGAAGGTTGATTTACACCCGGGGCTGGAATGACTCTCTTTCAGGGTTGATTACATCGGCAAATGCCCCCCAGAGGCCACAGCAGGATGGCCATATTCACAGGCAGCAGCCAATAAATCTCGGAGGTTTCTATTGCACTCCTCAGTACCCTCCCTGCTGGCCCTCTGCCAGGCTGGCTGTGCAAGTAAGAGGGGGCTTGAGCTGGAGGTGAGGGGCAAAACCCTCTACTTCTTTTCTTTCTCCTGTTCTCTTTCTAAACACTCCTTAGTTCTCATTCTTCGAAGTCATTCTGTCCCCAGCTTTACGCCGGGAGCAAGTGGGAGTCAGCCCTAGGCCCAGTACCCTTACGCCTCTGGGTAGAAATTGTGGGTTTTGGACACAGCTGTGTTTCATCCTATATAATCTTGATGGAGTAGCTTGCTCTCTGAAACATCTCAAAATGATGAGGGTCCTCCGTGGTCTCTCTTGCCACCTTCCTCAGTGACCTTGTCCGTCCAGGGAAACCTCAGCTATTTAGTCTGAGAGGGTTTCCTTCCTCAGCACACCTAAGGCGCTGATTTTGGAGTACAGTCTGGCCAAAGCCCTGGGCACTGGCCTCAGGTCTGCTCCTAGCAAAGCCATTTCACCTGCCTGGGCCCCATCTTGCAGAATCATGGGGTCAACGACAACAGTCGACTCTTAGTCTTGAAGATACTTACGAGGTGAAATGAAATAGATGTGCAAATGCTAAGTGGAAAAAAAAATACTGGAAATGCAACCGCCCTTGCGCTGGTTTGTTCACGTTTTGTTCCAAGATTTCATTTGTGGTGCTTGTCCCTGGGGCGCAGGGGGTGGCTGGAAGGCGAAAAGGGCTGCCTTTCTGGTTAAATACTTGGGTGCCCGAGACGGCACGTCTCCAGCGGCCGCTTCCAAGTATCCCGGGCTGAACGCCCCAAAGCGCAGCCGGCAGCGACGACAGGTGGGCCAGGGCGCCCCCGCCCCGCCGCGCCCCGGGACGAGCGGGAGAGGCGGCCCGCATGGCCCGCCCGCCCCCGAGCCGGAGGGCGGCGCCCAGGACCCCGTGGCGGCGCCGCGCCCGCGAGCGGGGCGGGCGGCGGTGTGCAGCGCGGCGCGCAGAGCTCCGGCGCGGGGAGCGAGGGCCGCGCGGCGCCCGGCGCAGGCAGAGCACCCCCCGCCATGGCGTGTCCCCCGAGCCCGCGCCCGCCGCCCGTGCTCCTCCTGCTGCTCCCGCTGCCGCTGCTGCTCCGAGCCGGTGAGTGTCGTCGGCGCGGACGCGGGGCCGCTCGGACCGCGGCGTTTGGGGGCCGCAGGGGGGCGTGGGGGCTCAGACGCCGCACCGCAGCCTGGTCCCCGGCGTCGGGCTCTCCGAGCCTGGGAACTAGAACAGGAAGCCCGGGGCCGGGAAGGGGCTGGGTTGCACTGCAGACGGAGTTTCTCAACTGTTGTCGATTGAGTGCCAGCAACGGCCAGGGCGCCCAAGCCTCTCCTCGCTCTGGGTTTCCCTTCTTCCTTCTTTTGAGGTGCGTCTACACAGTCAAAGAACAACCCGCAGCTCGGCCGTTTCCACGACCGCATCTCTAGGAGGCGCGGAGAATCAGGAGCCAGACTGCCGTCTGCTCCGCCTGGGCTTCAACTCTTCCGCCCCCTGTAAGGGCCGGGGAAGTGGACATTAGGGGGAGATGAAGAAAGAGAAGTGTTTGTTAGAACTGACTTGTCACAAATTAGGGATGTAAACTGCTGCCAGAATTTGCTAACATCATTATTTGGTTGTGTTGCTGAGAATATTGCTCACCACCAACCTACCTCCCTCCCGCCTTCAGGATATACTTTTTATTATTTTAATTGGACCAGAGAACTCGCTATTGGGCAAGGTGGCCTTTCCCTGCAAGCTGTCCAGCACAGTGCCTTGACTTGTTACAGATACACAATAGGTGTTTTGTGGAATACATAGCTCAAGGCTTGACTTTAGAACCATGTCAGTGCCCCACAGTAGGGGGCAATTCCTTGATCCCGGGGAACATGCCCATGATCGGCAGGACTGGCATGGGAGCGTGGAATGTCACTGGGGAGCTCCTGTCCAGGGCCAGAGTGGGGAGAATCCTGAGGCAGAGACAGATCACACAACGACTTGTGACTTTGGTGCACAAGGCAGTACTGCAGAAATGCAGTCTTGGCTGCAAGACAGATGCGGAAAGGAAGGAAGGAAAGGACTAGTCTAGGTTGATTCCATCAGTAAATCAGGGCAGCAAGACATAACCAATTAGATTTGACTGCCCGAAAGCTTCACTCATCCTAATAACGGTGCGGCTGCAGGTCAGGATCAAGGGTTAACATTAAACACCTTCCTCGGTACCCAGTTAAGTGGAACAAGTTCTACCCTGTTATGATGAAATTTAACCTGGCTCTCATCTTCTTTTCTTGATCTGCAAGTCCCCTAACCCAACTGCTGCTCAGACTTGGTGAACTATCAGTTCAGAAATTAGAGAGGCTTTTGAAAATTGTTACAACTCAATATTTAGTACAGTTGAAGCAATGAGACTCGGACCTGTTACATTTCTTTCAGCGAGCACTTACTGAGTACCTACCAGAACTTACATCTTAAACATTTAGTATTTCACACGCTGTTTAAACCCATGTGCCCCTTTTGGTAAAGATAAAAATCTCATGCCTTCCTTAAATATTTTTTGAAATTTCAAAAGCTTTTTTTTTTCATCTTCCACATATAAAATTATCATACATGCTTTTTAAAATCATGTATTCCCTCTGGAAATTCTGGTGTGCCCCTAAAGGGATCCTAACCTCTCTTTTCTCCATGCCCTACAGTGAAAAACTCTGGTTTAATCCAGTCCCTTCATTTTACATTTGAGAAACTAAGATCCCAGATGTAAATTGTCCTAAGCAGGGCTGGACTAAAGTGAGGTGAGTGAAGGGGGTACCCAGAAACCCAGTAGTCAAAGAAAATTTTAAAGCAATGTATTTAAAAAAAATCAAAATTAGTGCCCCCCAAATCCATGATGAACAAAATATCAAAAATTTAGATTAAAAGAATAACACTGCTATATTGGAGCCTGAAACAAAAGGAAAAATTGGTACGACTGACCCTGTCTGTCTTTATGCATTGGCTATGGCACTAATTCTCAAACTCTAGGGTGCATCCTACTTTCCAGTGGACTTGCTCAAATTCAGGTTCCCAGGCTTTATTACCAGAGATTATGATTTCAGTAGTTCTCTACCCGGTGTCCCTTCCCCAGTCCCTACAAGGGGTGGAAGAGTTGACGCCCAGGTGGAGTGAACGGCATTCCTGCTTCTGATTCTCCCCACCTCCTAGAGATGAGGTCGTGGAAACAGCCTGGCTACGGGTTGCTCTTGACCGTGTAGATGCACCTCCAAAGGGGGAAGAAGGGGAATCCAGAGCGAGCAGAGGCTTGGCCGCCCTGGCTGTTGCTGGCACTCAGGCTACAACAGTTCAGAAACTGCATTAGCAGGCTCAGAAACCTAAGTTTTAACAAGTTATCTAATTGATTACCATCATGATTGGAAGAGAGGTTGGACTAAATAAACTCTGAGGCCCCTCCTAATTTTGGGACTCTGATTGTAAGTAGATGGAAGGGGCCCGGAAAATTGACAGAGATGGCTCACAGAATGTCTTTGTTATCTGGTTATTTCTTAAATATTAGGATCTCACAAAGAGCAAGAGGCACTGGCGATGGTGTAGTGATAAGATAGACACAGAAGTCTAGAAGGAGAGATCAAAAAAATCAAGTGATGATACATGCTGTGCAGAGAATTGGGGTAATAACATGTTAGAGTAGCAAGGGGGTTATTTTACATTGGTTGGTAGGGTTGGCCTTCCTGAGATGACATTTAGAATGCAAACAATTCTGAATTACCAGAAAGGGCCAGTCCTGTGAAGATCAGGGGAAGAGCATTTCAAGCAGAAAGAAAGGCTAGGGCAAAAACCCCAAAGTGGAACTCAAGCTGTCTTGTTCAGTAACAACCAGAAAGAAGGCCAGTGTGGATGGAGAGGAAGAGAGGGCTAGCAGGTGAGGTTAGACAGGTGGGCAAGGACCACATCTTCAGGGTTTTATAAACCAGGGTGTATAAACTAGATCCTAACCTAAGTGCAAAAACAGAAGCTGTTGGAGAGATTTAAGCAGAGAAATGAGATGAGTTGATTTATAATTTTTAAGAAATGATCCATATAATGCCAATCAGCATTAGAATTATGTTGTATGTATTCCACACAATGGAATGCTGTACAGCAATGAAAATAATATTTTTATAGCTATACTTAACAGTGTGGATGAATTTCATAAACACAGTACAACACAATACTGAGCAAAAGAAGCCAAGACTAAAAGCGCACGTTGTATGATTGAAAAACAGACAAAAATAATCTCTCAGCTTAGAAATCAAGATACTGGTTTCCTTGGATGGATGGTGACTGGCAGAGGGCTATGTGGTGCTGGTAATGTTCTGGTCCTTTATTTGGAGGTCTGGTTGCACAGGTGTATTCTATTTGAAATTCACTGAACTGTACATTTTTTAATGTACTTTTCTGTATATTATACTTCAAGAAAAACTTATTACCAAATATGATATTGCCAGTGGCTAACAAGTACATGGAAATATGCTTAAGGTCATTAGTTATTAAGGAAATGCAAATGAAGCCATAATGAGATACCACTTCACACCACAATGATGGTTATTTAAAAAAAACCTGGAAAATAACAGGAGATGGCAAGTATGTGGAGAAACTGGAACCCTTGTACTTTGCTAGTGGGGGTGTAAAATGGTGCAACCACTGTGGAAAAACAATCTGGTGATTTCCTCAGATAAACATAGGATTACCAGATGACCCAGCAATTCCGCTCCTACATATGCACCAAAAATAATTGAATATAGGTATTCAAGGAAATACTTTTACATGAATGTTCACAGCAGCACTACTCACAATAGCCAACAGATGATAATTCAAATGTCCATCAACTGATGTGTGGATAAACAAAAGGTGTTATGTCCATACAATGAAATGCTACTCATCCATAGCAATGAATGAAGTAGGGGTACATGCTACAAACTGAGGAGCCTCAAAAAACAGTATGTAAGGTAGAAGAAGCCAGAGACAAAAGATTTAATATCTTATGGTTTTATTTACATGAAAAATCTAGAATAGATATATCTGCAGAGACAGAAAGTAGATTACAGGTTGCCAGAGACTAAGGGGAAGGGAGAATGGAGAACTCTTAAATGGTACAGGTTTTCTTTTAGGGCGATAAAATGTACTGGAATTAGAAGTGATGGTCGTACAACATTGTGAATGTACTGAATGCCACTTAGACCCTTTAAGATGGTTTATTTTATGTTGCATGGGTTTTGCCTCAATAAAAGTGTTTTCCAACATAAAAAAATTTCATTTAAAAAGATGGCTGCACCAACAAAATGGTAATTATGTGAAGGATTAGTGTTAACTAATCTTACTGTGGCGATCATTTCACAATATATACATGCATTAAGTCATCGTGTTGTACACCTAAAACTTACACAACGTTGTATGTCTGTTATACCTCAATAAAGCCAGAAAACAAAAAAAGATGGCTGAATGGTATGGAAGAATATATTTGGAAGATGGAATCAGGGAGACCAATGAGGAATCTTATCAGCAGGACAAGACTTGATGGTGGCTTGAGCTAAAGGAAATGGCTAGAGATGTGGAGAGAAGCAGACAGTTTCCAGATATGTTGTGGAGCTGACAGGACTTGTTGGATTGAACACAGGATGTGAAGGAAAGAGAAGAGTTAAAAATGACTCCAAATATGTTGCCTTGAAAAATGGATGATGATGGTGTTGTTCTGCCAGCCCTTGATAGGGATCAGGTCCTAGGATGCAGGCTGAATCATAACCAGCTTTGGTATTCCTGAGTGGGTGGCAGAATCAGCAAAAGCGCCCACCCCAGTCCAAACCAGTTCCCACTACAAGGTATTTTTGAGTGACTTTTAACGGAAGACTCAAGAGTGGTTGCTCACTCTCATTTATTACTCACACACATGTGCTCAACTTTCTCGTTGTGATGCTAGTCCTGTCCATGGCACAGCTTTGCCCAGGGCCCTCCTCCCTCTGCCTGGCACGGTCAGCAGACTCAGCTTCAGTCAGCTGGGCCCCTCGCCCTTCCAGGAGGCTGAGCTGCCTCTCTTCAACTCCCACCTCTTCTTGGGCCTGAACTGTTCTGTCTGGATGCGACTCTCCATGCCTGCTGGGCTTCTTTCTTCCCCACTTACTCTTAAAGGCCTTCGTGCCACCCTAAGAATTTCCTGCCCAAAGTTTCATCCAGAGTGCGCCCACCCTGCCTTACAACCTGGTACTCCCAGACAGCTACTCTGACCTTCTGTGGGCCTCACCTGCTCTCTCCCTTCCTAGGGGACCTCCTCCCCACAGAGGGTCGGCTTGCGAATAACTGTGTCCAGGCCAGGAAGAAGTGCCTGGCCGATCCCGCCTGCAGTGCTGCCTACCTACACCTGAATTCCTGCATGTCGAGTGTAAGTACCCCCTCATCCGCAGAGGAGCCGTGGGTCCCTGCAGACTGTGTGGAGGCAGCACAGCTCCTGAGGAACAGCTCTCTGACGCGCTGCACCTGCCACAGGCGCATGAAGAACCGAGCTGCCTGCCTGGACATCTACTGGGCCGTTCACCCTGCCCGCAGCCTCGGTGAGCCCCTCGCCAGGGCAGATGAACCTAGGCACGGTGGCACTTGCCCGTTGTTTTTTAATCCCACAAGATAGGGCCCAAACTGTAGATTCTGGTGGGGAATGATAATGCAGCTCTGCTTTTGATGTCAGTAAGAAGTGGAGTGGGGGAATTGGCAGCATCCTTCTGGGCGCCCCCAACACTGCCATCTCTTCTCTATTTCCCCCTTTCTTACCTGGCAACATGGAGCTGCCTGTTGACAGAGCTCTGAACAAAGCTGACGCCCAAACTGGGAGCTCTTGGAACAGAAGGGTGTGGAGAGGAGGTAGAAGAAAACGGTCTTACCCCATAAGCAGTTCCAAATACAATGTCGTTCATAAATATAGAGACAGTGGGAGCAGAGTCCTGGTCCAGCCTTTAATAGAAAACATACTCATCAACCAGAAAGGAGGCGGTAAGGGAGAGAAGGCAAGGAGGGCCCAAATGCTGCAGTGGCCGTCTTCCCTGGGAGTACGGATTGTCTTTAATAAGGCCCTGCTTTTGCTCCAGGGGAGGGTTGCTGTATCCACTGTTCTCCGAGGCTCTTGACCCAGCCTCTGGGAATTCCTTCCTTTTCCGTTATTTTATTTGGCCACGTCTGAGAAGCGCATTAAAGACTAGACCTCCTTGGGGATGGAGCAGCACACTCAGCTTGCTTCCTACCTGAGGAATGTTGGAGTATTTTAAGTCTCCAATAGTCACAATCTCTTAATTCAGATTGGCTCTTAATTCAGGTGGCCCTTGGCAGTGCAACTCTCTCAAAACACAATTGCTTTTTATATTTTTTATTTCTGTTACCTCCTGTCCCAGTAGCCTTTCCTATAATCCTTTTCAAGACATGCATCTCTTTCTAGACCCAGTTAGAAGTATCTTGCCCTTATCAGCCTTCTGTGGGAGAGCCATCACCTTAGTCTTTTTAACTTATGCACGTTTGTCCAACTGGCAGGGTTTATTGGATACCGCCTCAATCGGTGAGAGGTCTCTACAGGGACATGATAGCCACATACTTGAATCGGTCTTTGCCCCAAGGCTAAATTATAATTGACCTCATTACTCAAAGCATTTTCCAATTATCATTTCACATTTGAATATGAGAAGCAGTTGTATCATTTCATCCTGCAAGTCCTGGAATTTCTGGATTCTCTCTTGTTTCCTCCCTATTTGCAAACTGCCCCATCCTCCAAGCCTCTGTTTTTCCTGTAGCACCTTGCCAAATGCAGCCAGTAGCAAGTAAGACCACTAGTAACCTTCTACTTACCAGCTTCTTCCCCTTGAAGTACAAACTCAGTCAGCACAACCTCATCCTTCCAAGTTATTGCAGGCAACAATGTTGCCAAGCACTTTGCCCCTGCAGAGAAGGCTGCCATCTTTCCATTTCCCAGTAATGGCTTCTTCACCACCCACTTGCCTGTCCCAAAGCTGATCCTACACGTGCCGGATCTTTGTTTTCGTTGTTGTTACTGCAGCACTCCATTTCTAGATACCACGTATATTTTTAGTAAGAATTCTCCAGATTATGCTTCAGTAACAACAAACCAACCAACCCCCACATTTTTAGCTTTCCACAACAAAATGTATTTTTTGCTTGTTATTCAGCCCCCGTGGGGTTCCTGGAATTGCCTTTGTCTTTGCCCCCCCTCCCTTCACGTGAGGACCCAGGCTTGTTGAGGGAAGAGCAGCGGCAGGACCATGTGGTGGTTCATAAAGCTTCTGCTCAGATGTGATTCACTTGACTTCAGATCACGCTCCACAGGCCAAGGTCACCCAGCCAAGCCTTACAGGGGGGTAGGGAAGTATACTTCTCTCATAGGAGGCCTCAAAGTCACATGGCAACAGCCGGGCGTGGGGGTGGAGGGAATGTACAATCCTCCCTCAAGGTGGGTAGCCAATATTTGGGAACAGTAATACAATTTACCACACTCCTTGTTCCCTGGTTTCCTTCCTCATGCTGATCACTTCTCTTTCAGAACTCCCCCCGAGGCTTCTTGCCTCCCTCTCTTTCCCCTTGCAACTCGCAGGTCTTCTTAAGTTCCAGACCATCCTTTCCTGGGGGCTTGACATCATCCCTAGTCCCTCCCTCCTAATGATGGGTTCACAAAGGTTTATCGGGTGACACCGTGCAAGCCCACTTCTGTCACCTCTTTCTTCCACCAAGATTTATTAGCCAACCTTTATTGAGCACCTACCATGAGTATGAGCTATGCAGTGACTTTATAAGACCTAGCACATCCCCTTAGGGGCCGCACAGCCCCCGGGGGTGACTGAGAGACATGTGTCCTCTGTGATCATTGTCTCTTCTTTCTCTGCTTCTCTCAGTCAGGTTCAGTCTGGGGCCCTGGCCTCACCTCCGTCGCCTGGGCGTGTGATGCATCTGCATAGCTAGGTGGTCAGGCCTGCAACAGAGCCAACTGCTGCTCCTTCCCCAACTGCAAGAGAAAACAGGACAGAGTCCTCTTTCCTGCTTATGTGCCCACAGGCGGCGTGTCAGTTAGGAGCAGAGACTCTGGAATCAGATAGTTCAGGTTTCAAAACCCAGCTCTGCTTACTAGCCCGTATGAGCCTGAGTAAGTGACTTAACCGCTGTCAGCCTCAGTTTCCTCTTACCCACTCAAAGGCCTTAGGAGGATTAAATGAGATTGACTATATATATATATATATTTTTTTCCTTTCACTTATACCACAGTGACCAGCACACAGTGGTAGTTTTATTGTTCTTATCATTAAACCAGTTTATTCATCAAGTCCAGCCTCTACCGTTCCAGCCCTGCTTTTTTTCTCTCCTCTGCCTAGCTTGCAGCTAGTTAGGTAGAGGCTGCACCTTTCCCTTCCTCTAAAGGCTTTGAGATCTGACCCCGCAGCCTCAGCCTGCCCACTCCCACCCTCAGCCCCTAACCTCAGGATTCTGGGACTCTCCGCCTTGTCTCTAGGTGACTACGAGCTAGATGTCTCCCTCTATGAAGACACAGCGACCAGAAAACCCTGGAAAATGAATCTCAGCAAACTGAACATGCTCAAACCAGGTGTGGAGGGCAAGCCAGGCTGGGGCGTGGGGGCTGGCCTGGACCCTGCGGGAGGGGTGGCTGGGGGAAGAGTTCTAGCCTGCTCAGGATGGGAGTCTGAGCTCAAGGCATGGTTTGGCCTCACGAATCCGCAAAGATGTAATAGTTATTAGGGAAGCATTTGAAGGGAGCCCATTAGGCCTCCCTGGTTCCAAAAGGTGGGTCTCTGCAAAGGGTTTGGTCGAGTGGCAGCAGTCCCAGAGAAAATGTGCTGAAATGGAGTATTTACCCTCATTCGAGGCAGCTAGGAAAGTAGTTTTTTGTCCCTGAAGACCAGGAAATTGCTTGTTTTCAACCATTCTAATGGGATGGGTGAGGTGTTGGGCAGGGAAAATGGTGAGAGAATGTGACCTCTCAGGGGTGATTCAGGATGGAAGCCATCTGTCTGGCAAAGACTATGATGCACATTTTTTGGGAAAGTGAGCTGCTTGTGTTCAGTGGAAAGGAACCGCACACATGTGCACTGTTTTTGCAAAAGATGTGAGTATTGTTGTACGGCCAGTTCTGTATATTAGAATTCTGAGAGAAAAGCTTATTTGTATATAATGAACTCTAGCTACGAGGAATCTGGGAATAACCTGTTCCAGTTATTCCACTGTTTTGACTGCTGAATATTCTGTTAATAGAAATCACCATAATTTCCCAAGATCAGCGTATGGGGAAATTTTATGCATGCATCAATTGATGAAAGATGGTCAGGTGATAATAAAACTGAGGAGAGTAGACAGATGTGAAACTAAACAAAGATCCTAAATAGAATTTGGTTGCATTTGTTTTGGACCGTTCAGAAAGTGCTTTAGAATGTTATGATTTCCACCATGGTTTTCACTCACTGCGTAGGACTGAGGAAAGGGTTTTGTTATTTGAGCTTTCTGGCTGCTTGAATTCTAGATAAATGAGTTCTAGATGTATATGGCTTTGTTCTGTTTTGACCTAGTCCTGCTGAGGAGTGATGGGGGCCGCTCACCCACGAATACCAGATAGAGTTTATGGGTAGAGAGAAAGCCCTGCGTCGGGAGTGGCCGTGTTTGGGGCTGTGCACCCCTTCCTCCCACGCCCACTAGTCTTTGTTAAACCAGAGGGCTTCGGGGGTCAAATCAGAGACCGCTCGGTTCTTTGAGAGGCTGGGCTGTGGGTTTGCAGAGAGGGCTGGTGACGTTGTGTCCCTCTCTCCCAGACTCGGATCTCTGCCTCAAGTTCGCCATGCTGTGCACGCTCAATGACAAGTGTGACCGGCTGCGCAAGGCCTACGGGGAGGCATGCTCGGGGTCCCGCTGCCAGCGCCACACCTGCCTGGGGCAGCTCCGCGCCTTCTTCGAGAAGGCGTCAGAGCCCCACGCGCAGGGCCTGCTGCTGTGCCCGTGCGCGCCCGCCGACCAGGGCTGCGGGCAGCGCCGGCGCAACACCATCGCCCCCAGCTGCGCGCTGCCGCCTGGGGCCCCCAACTGCCTGGAGCTGCGGCGCCTGTGCCTCTCGGACCCGCTGTGCAGGTGCTGGTGCGGGACTGGGTCTTACCCGCCGGGGCCTCTGGACTGACTTCACCATGTAGCTCCCTTCGATATTTTCTGAACCCTTTTCTAAAAAGAATATCTATTCTTTGTGTAAAACTTAGAAATACAAAAACAAACTAAAATATCACTCAAAATCATCACCTGTAGGTAGTCTACCATACTTTGGGGAGCATTTCCTTCAAGGCTTTTTCGGAAACAGATAAACAAAATTTGAATATATCTGGGAATGTATTTGTATCTTGCTTTGTTTCACTTACGGTACATATCCCATGAGCATTTTCCTGGGGAGGCAATATGGAATAGTGGTGAAGACAGGCTCTGAAGTCAGATAGATGTGAATTTAAACCTGGGACTGTATGACCTTGAGCCCATCACTTAACCTAAAATTCCATCACTTAACCTAAGGTTCCATTTAGTCCTCTGTAAAAACTGCAGTGATAATGCAGGCCTCCTGGGATTCTGGTGAGAGTTAAATTACATAATTTATGTAGAGTTCCTAGCTTACTGGTGCAGAATAAGTGCTGAATAAATGGCATATTTTGTTATTTACTGCCCTTTGACAACTTCCTTTTTACATGCCTACATTGTATTCAATCTTATAGATGCCCCATATTTTACTTAATCATTCCTCTATTATTGAATATTGAGGTTCCTTTCTTTATTGCTGTAGATAGTGCTGCAATAAGTACCCCTCTTGTTCATTAATCTTTGTGCACAAATCTAACTGTCACTTAGGATGCATTGCTGTGACTGCCATTACCAAATCAAAGGACATGAAGATTTTGTAAGGTTTTTGGTACATATTCTCCGACAAATTTGAAATTCTGATCTGGCTTTCCTTGCCTTCTTAGGACAAAACACTTGCCAAACTGAAGTTATCATCCATTCAAGTGGCATTTGTTGACAGTGAGAGCCATGCCAACCTTGTTTTGCAGCCTGGGTCTACCCTTCTCTGTAACGTTGGGCAAGTTACTTAACCTCTCTGCATCCCACTTTCCTCTTCTGTAAAATACTACATAGTCAGAGCTCTCAGTAATCATAACACTAATACTCACAGGGTACTTACTCTGGGCCAGGGACTGTTTTAAGTACTTAACGTGTATTAACTCATCTAAACCTCACACGAACCCTTTAAGATAGATGCCAATATTTTTTTCTAATCTTCAGTTTAGATGAAGAAACCCACAGCAGAGAGGTTAAGTAATTTGCTCAAGTTCACCCAGGTAGTAAGTCAGGTTGGTTAAGAAGGTTTGGAATGAAGAAGTCTAGCCTAGGCTTTGTGCTCCCGGTGGCTCTGCTCTAGTGCCTGTTACGGTGCTGGTAGCTGTTCCCAAGACTGTTACATACCAAGTGCTGGGCTTGATGCCTGAGATATTGTCCCTTCCTTCAAGGAGTTTGCAATTAGTGCGGGTGATGGGAAGTAAGCTACTAATGTAACACAAGGCAAAATTTAAGGAAGCCTGCAGAAATACATACAGAAAACATACTCATAATTTCATTACCTGAAGACAACCAGCCTTACCTATTGCAGGTTGAGTGTTATAATATCTAACCAGGCACTGTGCTAAATGCTGTCCATGCGTTCTCTTATTCCATCTTTGCAAAATCCATGAGGTAGTGCTGTTTTTTATCTCATTTACAGTCACAGAAACTGAGGTTAAAGAAGCTGCCTGAGATCTCACAACTAGGGACTGTGGAGCCCAGATGCAGTGATGTGCTGCAGGGGCTGGGCTGCTGGTGCTTTAACTGTGACAGTACCAGGCCTCATTCACTGAGGAGGAAGGCAGAGGAGTATCGGCAGTGGAGAGGGGCATGTCTGCTAAAGGGGCAGCAAGGGAAAGGCTGACCCTTGATGGGGACTCTTGAAATTTCCCTTCTTCTAGATCACGCCTGGCAGATTTTCAGACCCACTGCCATCCCATGGACATCCTAGGGACCTGTGCCACAGAGCAGTCCAGATGTCTGCGAGCCTACATGGGGCTGATTGGTGAGGCGGGGCGGTCGGGGTGGTGGTGCTTGGGTTGGCCAGCCCTGGGGCTGAGAATGCTCTGGAGATTGAGCCCAGATGGAGTGGTCCTGAGACAGGCGGAGAGGTAGGAGCTGAAGCTGGGGTAGGCCCAGGCCCTGACAGTCTTCTCTTCACCCTGCAGGGACTGCCGTGACTCCCAACTTTGTCAGCAGTATCAACACCAGTGTTGCCTTAAGCTGCACCTGCCGAGGCAGTGGCAACCTGCAGGAGGAGTGTGAGCGGTTGGAGGGGTCCTTCTCCCACAACCCCTGCCTCGGTGAGCGTCTGCCCCTGCTCCCAGCCCCTGGTCAGCCAGGCCCAGGGAGAGGCGAAGGGTCAGCTCTGCGGTCCACACTGGGTCTGTCCGTCTCCTGCACACAGAGCAGCCCCCTCCTCAGCATGGGCCCGCATCTGCCCAGCCTGGCCTTTCTTCCTTCCCCCGCTCTGTGAGTGCCCCCCACGCTGCCTGTTCAGCCAGGCCCCAGGGACCCTCCTCAACTCCAGGAATGAGCAATCAGGACAACCAGTATCCTGTCCCCACTTGCCACCCCCTGCCGCCCCAATATTCCAAGGTCCCTGAGACATTCCCTGTCCTCCTTTGGGAGCCTGAGAAATCTCCAACATCTGCCTGCTTCCAATCTCTCCTCTCCCCAGCGGAGGCCATCGCGGCGAAGATGCGTTTCCATAGCCAGCTCTTCTCCCGGGACCAGGCAGACTCTGCCCTTCCCGTGATGGAACACCAGGTACGACCTCCTCTGTTACACCTCTCTTAGCTTTCCTGGACTGGCTGAGGAATCCCAGACAGAGCAGACGAGAGGATGGAGCGGGGGACCTCCTGGTGGCCTCAAACACTATAGACCTCTGATGGGTACTGTGGGTGGGGGACGGACCTTGACAGGCTGAGGTGGTGAAGGGGGTGTGGCTGACTCCATTCCGTTTCTTCTACAGAACAAAAACCCTGCTGTGAGGCCTCAGACCTGGGTGCCCTGTGGTTTCTCTTACATGCTCACCTTCATTCTGCTCTGGAGCCTCTGGTAGCTGCACTTTCCCGGGGACCCTCTTCCCTTCTACCACACCCAGCCTGACCTGCAGCCCGCAAGGGGTGAGGAAAGGATAGCATCGGGAAGGGGGTGCAGTAAACAGTGTGGCAACCTTGACCCCAACCCACATAACTTGTCAACTCCAGATGAGGCCACAGTAGAAGCAACTAGCTGAGTTCTCATTCCCTCCACTTCTGACTTAGGCTGCCTCTCCTTAGCACTCAGTGACCATGGAGCAGCCACCTTAGCACTCAGTGACCATGGAGCAGCCACCTTAGCACTCAGTGACCACGGTGCAGCCACCTTAACACTCAGTGACCATGGAGCAGCCACCTTAGCACTCAGTGACCACGGTGCAGCCATGCTCTTCTAGTGTGTCCGGCTCTACCAAGTTCTCCCCTGATCCCTTCCTTCTGCCCACCAGGATCGCCCAGGCTCTAAGAAATCAGTCACTCTCTATTGCAGCCTCCTGGTAGGCAGGGATGGGTGCTCTGAGGCAGCCTAGAAAAATATTCTTCAATGTGAGAAGGGCTGGGGCAAGACTCCTGTCCCCTTGTGTCCTCTGAGTGGGGGTGGGAGCCTGCTGACATAACTTGTCAACTCCAGATGAGGCCACAGTAGAAGCAACTAGCTGAGTTCTCATTCCCTCCACTTCTGACTTAGGCTGCCTCTCCTTAGCACTCAGTGACCATGGAGCAGCCACCTTAGCACTCAGTGACCATGGAGCAGCCACCTTAGCACTCAGTGACCACGGTGCAGCCACCTTAACACTCAGTGACCATGGAGCAGCCACCTTAGCACTCAGTGACCACGGTGCAGCCATGCTCTTCTAGTGTGTCCGGCTCTACCAAGTTCTCCCCTGATCCCTTCCTTCTGCCCACCAGGATCGCCCAGGCTCTAAGAAATCAGTCACTCTCTATTGCAGCCTCCTGGTAGGCAGGGATGGGTGCTCTGAGGCAGCCTAGAAAAATATTCTTCAATGTGAGAAGGGCTGGGGCAAGACTCCTGTCCCCTTGTGTCCTCTGAGTGGGGGTGGGAGCCTGCTGCCTGTCCTGCCTGGGGATCTGCAGAGCATTTCGGCGTCAGGAGCCAGAGCATCTGAGCCTTGCTTTCTTCCTGCTACTGTCCCCCAGTCCCCCAGCCTCTTGGATCATGATTAAACATTTGACTCAAAACTTTTCTCTTTTCCCATTTTCTCACACTGTATTTATATAGAACTAGGGGTGTTATAGGCACAAGAGCACAGGCTGGGTGATCAGGAGACACAGCAACCCTGCCACCAACTGCTGTGTGACTTTGGGCAAGTCTCTCAGCCTCTCTGTGCACTTGACTTATGGCTGTGGACTTGGTAGCTGTCCCAGCCCCAGCCATTCTGGGGATACTGCGTGGATCTGCCACAGCAGCTGAGGGGGGTGGCTCCTTAGTCAACCAAAGTATTTATTGAGCACCGGCTTTGTGTTATTGGTCTGCTCCAGATCATAATGGGGGCCAGACGAAAGGGGGGACTGGTCTTTGATCTCATCTGCGATCCTGTTGGATAAGGAAACAGCTACTCGGGCAAAGTACTTGGGAGAATATATTTACAGAGCTGTGGATACTTGTCAATGAATTCATTCACTCACTCTTTACCTGAGGCGTGGCAGCTCTGCAAGCAGCCGAGCTGGGTGCCCGAGACTCAGGTAATAATCCTCAGATGCTGTTTTCACGCCTTTCACACACCAGCGCAGGGGAACAGAGAAGACGGAACAATGCAGTGTGATGAGTGCTGTGCAATAATTAGAAGAAAAGCCCGCATTTGTTGAGCCCCTACTGTGTGCAAGTTCACGCTTTAATTCATCTACTCCAGCACGTTGGACCTTGTGAGTCACTAGCTACAAGACCTTGGGTTTAACCTTTCTGGACTTCATTATCTCCATGTGTAACATGAACAAGCACAGAGCCCACCTCACAAGGAATTTGATAATAAACTCCCAAACTGCTCTCTGCACATCTATGCACATGAGAATCTATAGGTATGTATAAATTTTAGTAAGTGGGATCAGATACTGCAAACCGAAGTGTAAGTCATGGACATCTTTCCAGAACCATGAGTAAGCTTGAGCCACATCATCCTTCTTATTAGCTGCTGCATAACATGGACTTGTCTATGTATATTCCTACATATGCAGTTTATTTAACCAGTTCTATATTGGTGGATATTTAGTTGTCTTCACATTTTTCTCCAAGCCAAGGTTTAAGGCCATGAGGCAGTGGCTGGGGATGGGATGCGTGGGGCAGCTGCCAGAGTGATGGGTGGAGTAGTGACACCTCCCGCTCTACATTCTTGTATTCCCATAGCCCACCGGCCCCAGGAAATGCCCAGCCAGCCTGCCTCCCACAAACTCTTGTGGGGCACTGGGTGGACCTTCCCCTTCCTCCCTTTCAAGGAAGATCTCTGAGCCTTCTAGTCTCCATTTGTTTTGGTTCCATTAGCCTGGGGCTGGGGGTGTGAATGGTACAGTTATTCCTTGCTAAGTGCTTGAATTAGACAATAGGTCATCTGTGCTTTTCTCTGAAGAAGGTCCAAATTCCTGGTAAACAACCAGACCACTCTCCCAGCCCAGGGCCCAGAGCCAAGATCCAGAGTGGGGGCACAGTGGCTAGACTGCAGCTTTTAGTGGTGTCCTGGCTGACTGGGATGGTTAATGCCATTAGACTAGGTCTGTGTAATGAAGTGGAGAGGGCTGCTGGCAGCAGTGGTAAATGGAGAATGCTGAATTACAGGCCTCTGTATGGTTGGGGTGGAGCAGTCTTTTAAACAACCATCTTCAAATTCATCCATTCAATCATATATTCATTCAACAAACCTTTAACAAGCACTTGTTCTGTGCCAGGCTGTGAGTATTTTTCAAGGTCTGTCCCTCCCCATTCACGAGCTACCACTTCAGCTTAGGAGCAACCCAGGATTTGGACAGTTGGACTACAAGTTTGGGCAGTTGGGACTTTTCAGTGACCCTGTTTGGTTATAATGCTCAGCTGTTGAACCTTGGGAAATAATCTTTACCCCTCTGAGCCATCATTTCCTTCTCTGCAGTGGGGATGCCAATAGGAAAACCTAACTTAAAGGTTGCAGTTTTTGGTTTTTTCTTGCTCTTAAATACAACACCAGCAATTTAACTTCAGCCAAAAAATGAATTGGCAATATCAACTAGTGTTAATATAAGCTATTATGGTTTTGACTGGTAATTTTTAGGTTTTTAGGCTTCTTCTTTCTTTTTTTTTTTTTGCTATTGCAAAGGTTTAACAAAAAAGTTAAATATGAAAATGTACACCTGATTTTCATATTGCAGTAAAAACACATAGCTCTAGAGAGAGGACAGACATGTGGAAACAGCTGATTTCTCTTGTGAACACAGCCATTGTTATACTCATTCCAAGGCTTCTGACATGATGATACTATTTCCTTGTATTCCCACTATTCCAATCGTTCTGTTGACCACTAGTTGCCGTTGCCACACATTCATCTATCACAAGATTCATAAAGGGATCAAATCCCCTCAATATTCCTTGGACACATCTACCACCATTTAATTTCGAGGATAACTTCTTGTCCATAAATGTTTTCAATTCCTGAGGGTGAGCTTTGCTCATGGTGTCTACTTCACAAGCTCAAAGATGCCTCCCGGCTTTTTACTTCTATAAAATCTTATAAGCATGAGGAATTTATGCTTGTTTTCACCTCTGTGTATATTTACATTAGAAAATAGTAAAAGTATTTCAAGCCAACAGGGTTGTTTGAAGGACTGGAAATAATTATAACACTTAACACAGTATCTCACAGAGAATGAACACACAGTAGGTGGCAGCTATTCTAGTCTTACTTCTGGGAGGGGATCTGTGGGTACCGGGTGTTCTGCCCCCTACCCTGGAACAGTGGTGAGAGTGCTGGCTCTCCCTCCAGTTGGGGGTGGAATTCTGGGTGTGGCTGCTCTTGGGAGACTCATTAACGAAGTTCTGAGGATGGAAGCCAGAGCTCTCAGTCTGTAGCTCAGGTCTTGAGGGACCTTGGACAAGTTGTGCAGTCAAAGTGTCTTAGTCGCAGGTCTTTTGGCTGCAAGCAACAGAGACACTTAGTAGAAGGGGAATGCCACGCAACCCAACCCCAGGAATTCAGCCAGGCCTTGGGGGAACTGGTGAGTCAGGAACCAATCTTGAACTCATCTCTGGGAGGCCTATGCATCTTGGACCATCTATTTCAGCCTCTGCAGAACTACTTCCTCTGCATGACGTTCCAAGTCCAACAACTTCAGCTAAATGAGATCTGATCCCAATTCCAAATTCACAGAAACTCTCTTTGTACACGCACGTTCTAGATTGGCTTTTCTGGATTGAGAGTCCCTGCCAGGCCTATCAGTTTTGTAAAGGAAGTACAGATCCACACACTACTAAGGTAATTACAGGGTCTCAGACCTATGAGTGGACGACAGTTCTCAGAAAAGGCAGTGTAGTTCAGAAGGAGCCCCTAAGCCATAGACTTGTCAGGGAACCGGTGTGGATCAGAATCACCTGAGGTCTAGCTTTCCTGCTTTTGTGGCTTCCTTCCTGGTTTAGGAGTGCCTTCTCTGAGCTTCCTTCTTGGGTGCCCTGGAAGAATAGGTATGTAGGAACACAGGCCAGGTGTTGTGGCTTCTTTGGGTCTGAGACCAGCCTGGGAGCTAGATCTGAGTGAATGTTCCTTTTGGCTGCAGAATGGGACTTTGCTGCCATAGGGCTTGCTAGATTTCCAGTGTATGGAATACGCCACCCCAAAATATGCAAAAGGTTTATTTTGACCCAAAGGCAATTGAGAATGAACGGATGTGGGAAGAGTTCTCTGCCACCCAGGTAGAACTGAAAATGGGGAGTCAACCAAAATGAGTTTATATAAACAGACCTTCATAAATTTCCCTTATCTTTCAGTAGTTTCCCCCATATATTTCCTAGTCACCTCCCCACAATTAATGGTCCTTTGAATAAACTTTGAACTTGGTTAAAAGGGCATATTTGAGTTGCTAATGTAACCCCAAATCTTATTTGAGTTTCTCTGGTTTCTTGTAAACTCCCATGCAGGTTAATATTAAAAATTGTGACTTTTCTCCTGCTAATCTCTTCTGTTAGCTTAATTCAAAGGGTTACAGTTACTGAATATAAGAGGGAGGAGGAAAAGGTTTTTCCTCCTCAACGAAAGCATCATTTTCTTGGCTGACAGCCCCCGTCTCCGTCTGTG